ATAATGGACAACCGATTCATTACAAAAGTTCACTGAGAACACGTTGGACGTGAATAATGGTCCTAGTTTGCCGCACACTTAGGATGTCCGCTCAAATCATTTCGCAAACTCATCGTTTNTCGTTTTCAGCGGCAAAGCCACAACACTTTTTAATTTTTTTTAAAAACATTTGTTGGATGATATAAAGCTCTTTTCATGTACATTTCAATTGATCATCACCTGTACTAATTGATGTGCTTGGGAATGAATGCTATTTAATCAACGCAAACAGTTGCAGTCCATTGGAACATTTAGTCTACCCTTTGTGGTCCAGGTGAATCTTCTGTCCACATCGTCACTCTAAACAACCACCTGTGGATTAATAAAATTGAATTGCCTGATGACCCTCTATCAAATATCAACCGCAAACTTTTGTGTCCAATTGTAGCGAGTAAAATAATCACTGGAGTTATTATGAAGAGCTTTCAGGGTAAACCGGTCTTTAGTTCCCGCACTTCGCTTGGTTTTCATTCACTCAAACACATGAATGGTTATCAGAGTTTCTCTTGTATTTACAAGTGTTTTTTTTACAAATTTCATCTTTCGTTTTGATCTATATATTCACATGCCCTTTCCTGCGATAATCTACTGAAATTATTCGTTATTTTGATCACCTTCGGGATTAATATTATTTCTATCCGATGTAAGATGGTGGATATCTGAGACTATTTTCCATTCTTTCTACCAACTGCCATCTCCCATAGGGGAATTAAGAATTTTTATACATCTGCGATACAACCGTTCAACACAATCAGTTGTTCTTTTCAGTCTGCGTATTACACAAATGCGATATTTCATGGCAATTGTTAACATTTTCTCGGGGGTTAGTCGGTGAACAGCTTATTGGCACACATTATTAACTCTGAATCAGAGTTCAGCCCCATTGCCAATCCTTCCAGCTGCATGGGATGCACACTTTTCCATCAGCTATACTCATTAGGGCTAAATTGTGTACTGAGGTATGTCTGTTTGCGCATGTAATACTTATTACGCAATAGAATGCGGAAACTAAATGTTTTCTGACTGGTTTAGTCATGGAACAGAAACTTCATGGTCAAAAGGCACGGTGTTTGAAAATAAACAAATCGAAAAAAGAAACAGTGAGAGGGGAAAAATCGAAATAAAATATGGTTTATGGCACAAAGCCATTCAAATAAACCCGTCCACTTCTCTGTTATCCTTAGTAGGGGACCGTTCTGATTGCTAAGTGAGACCAATTTTGCGGTCGAGTTCATCTGTGTGAATGAAATCGGAGACATTCTATTTATGCCCTATGTGGAGTTTGGATGGGCGGGCGGGGGGNGGGAAAGAGTAAAACCTCTCGCAGAAGATCCGGATACGACTGCTGTGTGTTCGTGCATCCACAAATACGTCGTCTGAGGAGGTTGTCAGTCAATCTGTGCATTTTTTTTTAACGCAAACTGAAACAAATCGATAATTGGAGGTTGAATGCCTAGACAGAAATGGAGGGTTTTATCCAGTTTTCCGTCCATGAATGATGAGATCAGGTACTATCTATTGGAGTGCGGTACAGAAGTTACTCACCAAATCGTAAGCCGATAGTGAGATGAAATGAGTTAGATACTAGTTAGGCAAATAAAACGCAACTGTTTTCATGAACGATTTCATCAAAAATCTATTGATTCTGATGAGTTGTTCTGAGAGAAAAAGAGAAAATAGACAAACTTCAGCGATCAGATTTATTGACAGTGAATTCAACGTTTTTAAATGAAACGTTCTATCCATATGTCAGTAGTGATTTCCGGATTTTTTCGAAAACTATGCTTTAATTGAGAAAGACCTACATAACTTTGTTCAAGAAAAACTAAGCTACTCTACCGATTGGCGTATCAAATAATACCGAATCCAAGCCATCGATGTCACACCATGCTTACGGTTTTTGCCGACATCCACCTTCGGGGAAATCATTTGAATTTATTACTTTCGAATTTCGGTTGAGTTGCCAGCGTCAATCTTTAGTTGTCAGTGATTATCGTTGGGAACGCTCTATCTTACGTCGTTTTTGCGCCAACTGTTGAATCTTTTCGACGAAGACTTGAAAATATTTTTACATTACTAAAAACGCAAAACAGTTGAAGACTTCATTAATTATTATCTTCATGCCCGGAAATATGTGAAACGTCCCATTTTATCAAGGAACGATTCATTTTCGTAAATATCGTATGACAAATATGAGCTCATAGATAGTTCATATAATTAGGATTTGACCTCGACAAATTTTAAGGGTCCCATGTTACATTCAAAAAACGGTTCCACACTGCGTACGAAATAAATCAGATACCCCATAGTTATTATGCGAGCCTAAAAGTTGTGACACAGATTGATCAAAGTAGCGCCTTCTCTTCGTCAGCTTCTCGGTCACTGCAGTTTCATATTAGGAAGGACTGAAAGCAAATCTCTTTCCACATATCTGCTTATTTTTATTACGTTTTCTGGCCTTTAAAAACAGTTTTAGGAGTGCAGAAAATGCGTATCACATCAACGAAACGATCAGATTTTTCCACAGACGCTACCTCCTTACATCTCCACATCGTCATAAACATTCATAACAAACTTTTTCAGCTGTATGTATTGAAACAAGATTCCAGATCCTTTGACCTATTGCACCAATCTCCACCTAGCTTCGAGAGCCAATTTGTCGTCTGGTATACTCTGTTCCTGCTGAATCACGACAACTTATTGCACGACACAAAGACATTTATTAGAAAACGTGTTAGTGTGGCGATGGGGTAAAACAGTCGAAATTCGGCTGAATTATCAGAGGCTGCTCATCAACCGAACCACAAACTGTAGTGATAAAACTCTGAGTGCAGTGTGTTTGGAATAATGGTCACGTGCAACTTAAATCTCGATTATGAATTGCAGCGAACATCAAATGGGTCCAAGCCGTTGTATTGATTGGCCATTCCCGAACCACTAC